ACTTATGCCACTGAGCTATCCCTCTAGCCCAGCAGCACTTTTGTAATAAAGCCTAAAATTAAAGCAGGAAAATAACATAATTAAGGCAGTTCCTTAAATGGGTTTGGCTACGAAGTCACCAACCTACAAAACAAATCCCTTAGGAGCACTCCAAACCCAGCAGTTACAGGGTAAAGCACCCTGAGTGACAATCAGAAAGTCCACTGCACAGGAAGGAAGTCTGATGCAGAGCTGACTGTCATCTGGGTCCCAAAGGAAAAGCCTCAAGACCTGAACTGGCACAGCTCACAGCGGCAGCTTTCCCTCGGGTGCTACTCCCCGAGCAGGATGTCCCGGGGCACTGGGAACACACTTGGGCCTGAGCCCAGGGCGCGTCACACCTACACCCACAGGACCTCCTGCTGGCCAGGCAGGTGCTTGTGCCGCTGAGCTACCTCCCCAGCCCCTGAGATCTGACTGCTACACAACTGTCCTGAAGTGTAGGCCAAGACCACAACTAACAGGCAGCTGCCTCCAGGTGGGGGACCTGTCTGGCAGGCCAGCCACACAGCACTGCTCAACCCTCTTGGATGCCACCCCCAGGACCAACTGAAAACCCAGATCTGCAAGCTCATGTGCACGCATGTGCACATGTGCGCCTGGTGTTGGGGATGGAGCCAGGGCCACATACACGCTAGCTGAGCACTCTACTGCCCCATCCAGCCACATCCTCGCCTTGATCTCCTTTTTTACATACGCAAGGGAACTCTATACCAATTTCAACTGGCTTGACAGCAAGAAATAAAAGAAATTCAAAAACCTTTATAGGCTTTCTAGCCATGAATGTGCCAGACTCCAAAAATGCACCTTAGGATGGCTGACTTGGCTACCAGGGAGTCGTGATGAAGTGAGGGAAAGGGCTTATGCACTGGGAGAGACAGAAGTTCTGATGACTAATGTTTGTCAGAATTAGCAGACCCAGACACTTAAAAAAGAGAAATTTTGTAGCAAATAAATTACACCTTAGGAAACCAGACTTTAAGAAAAGAAATCCGGAGTTGGGGAGATGGCTCAGTAGAATAAGCACTTCCCTGGCAAGTGCAAGGACCTGAGTTCAATCCCCTGCTCCACAAAAAAAAAAAAAAAAGAAAAAGAAAAAGAAAAGAAATCCCACCTCACAATTGACCGGGCTGGGGAGATAACTCAATAGAATAAGTGTTTGCCTGGTAAGCACAAGGTCCTGAGTTCAATCCCCGGTACCAAAAAAAAAAGAATAGACCGGCTGGGCTGGAGGTACAGCTCAGGGGTGCATAGCACTTGTCTGGCAAACACAAGGTCCTGAGTTCAACTCCCAGTGCCAAAAATAAATAAATAAAAGAGAGAAGAGACCAGCTGACTCAGGTATTATGACTGTAATTACAATACTGCAGTACCTGGCTCCACCCAGTAGAAATGGCTCACCTAAAAATACTATTCTTTTTTTTGGTCTTTTGGAGACAGGGTCTTACTCTGCAGTTCAGGCTGGCCTTGAGCTCACTTTGCAGCCCAGGCTGGTCTCGAACTCGCAACAATCCTCCTGCCTCAGCCTCCTGCGTGCTGGGTTCACAAGCATGCCTGACTTCTTTTTTTTTTTTTCTTTTTTGGTACTAGGAATCGAACTCAGAACCTTGCACTTGCCAGGCAGGTACTTAAGCTGCTGAGCTCTTTCTCCGGCCCCAACTTAAATTTTCTTTAAACCATTAACTGTACCACCAGGAGAGCAAAAGTAAAAACAAATCACCCACAATCCTATTTTACAATTATAAAATTGTACTCTTAATTTTATAATTGTAAAATCCTATTTACAATTATTTGACTCCAGAAGATGCTTATCCATTTATGTTTTGACACAGGTGTCTGAGCTTCTTAGAATTCAAAGAAAATTCCAAAACCAGCCATGAAGGCCATACTGGAAGAGGGCTGGCATCCAGCGGCTCCCACCTCCACATGCACATGCAGCCTCCTCCAGGGTGGACCCGAGGCTCTAACGGCAACACGCACTGCGCAGCCACACCAGTCCCACTGAAGACCACCGGGGCCCGTGCCGGCCGCAGCTGAGGGCCAGCAATCCCAAGGGCTAGAACAGCAGGGAATCCCGCTGGGCGTGAGTGAAGGCTCTCAAGAGCTCCCGAGCTGCCTCACGTTGGTAACTTGTGGGTGCAACACAAAGTCGGCGAGCAGAAGCCCTGCCCTGGCCCTTCGGAAGGCTCACCCCTCAGCCACTTGGCCGTCTGCCTTCAAAGGAAGCTGCGCTGCGGTGCCATCTGCCCACGTGGGGATGGGGATCTGGTGCCAAGCCTGAGGAACAGCAGTGCCCAAACGACGCGCCTTGCAGGAGCCTTCTCACTGCAGCGCATCTTCTCCCCCGCCCCTGACATTTTGAAGAAGAAAACCAGTTTCTAGGCTTTAGAAAAAGACACACATCTGAGGCTAAATGGCTAAACCCAGGCATTTGAGAGCGCCAGAATGGTTTCTCCTGGCAAGTAAGAGTGCCTTGTGGCTGGATGCGAAGCGGAAAAAGGTCTAAGAGGCCGAAAGACTGATAATAAAAAACGTGTGCTTCCTTCTCTTCAGGGAGAGGCAGTCTACCAACCTAAAGCAGTTTCTGCCTCGAGGACCTGAGAGCATCCTAGTGGCAATCACTCATAAAAGACCAATCTAGAGAACTATTACGAAAACAGAGCGAGGGACTGATTAACATAAAATTGAGCATGGTGGTTACCCAGTGGAGGGGCAAAATGTAACCAGGAAGCTACGCGCAGGCCTTCCACAGCACTGCTCCCAGCCCGCGTATCTGCTGAGTGGGCAGGTGGCACTCGCTGCCTAGGTCCGTCCCCACGGTGTAGAGGGAACATCTGGAATGAAAAAGCCCATTCCAAGCGGACATGCGGGTTTTCGGAGAGCTCCATGAATGATGTGGCTCCAGCATACATCTTAAGTGACTTGAGACCACGTTTATTCTTCCCTGATCACCTTGACAAGCACGGGGTTGAAGCATAGGGTGAGTGGGTAGGATCTGGGGCTATGCCCTCCAGTGACAGAGTAAGACAGGGGCAGAAGATGCAGGCAAAGGGCTTCTCTGAGGCAACACTGCCCATGCCATAGGTGAAGAGACACTGAAAATTACTATTTGTGTTGCAACACTCTTGCGGAGTAGGAGGGCCAGCAGCAAGCGTGAGGCTAAGGAGGACACCAATGCATACATGCTCGCAGCAGCCAGAGCTCAAATTCCTGAAAACCTAAAGTACAAGCAATCAAATAGCAAAGGCTTCCGGCTCTTGTCAGACACCTTAAGGCTTACGTGTATACTCTTCCCTAAAGTTACTTCCAATCTAGGGTGCCCAAATATGAGGTTTTGCTGCCCTAATGTACCTCTGGCCCTGCTAAAGCACACAGTGCCAAGCCAGGCAGCCTGTGCCATTTCCAGCACGTCACAGCCAGTGTCTGTTCATGTGCTACAGGCATGAAAACCATGTGCTCGCTTCTAGTTCCAATACACAGACATCTGTGCAGCAAGGTCAGATCCAACTCCATCACGAACCAGCCGAAGAATCGATGGGGAGGCACTTTCAGGGGAGGCCAGCAGGTGCTGGCCAACTTGCAAGCCTGAGGAATGAATGATGCTGCCAGGAGAACATGCAGGGGGAAAGGCACAAGGCTCCAGTGGACGGTCTGACTGCTAGAGCCCACGCTGAGAGAGCTGCCAAGCACAACCACTTTGGGGAAAAATAGTGAAAAAAATGAACAGAGTATGGACGCCAAATCCAAACGTTCCTTACCACAACACAAAACCATTTTGTGCTCAGCATGTCAAGCTCTGACAGAAAGACACCTTTAGAGCCGAAGACCAGAAATTAATAAAAAAAGTTTGTCCCATCTGCCAGGTCTATCCACAACAGCAGACCTCACACAGACACCAAGACAGCCTAGCCTGCCTCTCTACCCCAAACTGCTTCTCTTTTTCCCAAACAGAAAACCACCTCAGAGCTGGTCTCCATTTCTGTATTTCACAACTATGAAGACTGCCAGGAAAGCCTCAACTATCAGTAAAAACAAGCCTTTTTTCATTTTGTTTTTTGCTTTTAAGATTGGATCTCACTATGTAGTTCAGGTTGGCCTTGAAATCACTATGTAGCCTAGGCTGGCCTCAAGCTCCTGGCAACCCTACTGCCTCAGCCTCCTGAGTGCTGAGATCATAGGTCTGCAACACCATATGCAGCTATAAAAACAAATTTTGAAAAATGAACAAAGTACCCAATTCCCAACTCCGTGCTATCATGATTCAAGAAGGGCAGATCAAACGCTATTTCCCCTAAATCCAAAGAAAGATGATTAGCTCAACATATGTGAAACAGCCCAGGAAACTCCACCGGTTTTCCCAAAATAGCAAAGTTCTATATTACACAGAGGCCCACGGGCATCAAGCCCAGCTCTGAATTCTGACATATGTGTGGTACAAGGCCTAGCCCAGTTCCCAGAACAGAAACTTGATTAGTTGGCAGGCCTATGTCTTACTTTAGTTCAAAAGCATTCTCGAAGTTAAATCCTAGAGCTTTGTAGACTCAGTGTATACAGGCACATCCCACTCAGCAGACTCAAAGGCATCTGAAAAGAAGTCGGGGCCAGGAAAATAGCTCAATAGAATAGGGCCTGAGTTCAATCCCCAGTTCCGCCAAAAAAAAAAAAATCTGAAAAGAAGTCAAGTTTTTCTTAACCCTAAAGCATGGAAGCTTCTGAGCCTTATGAAATGATGACGGGATGTACTTTCCGCAGCTGTAGGAAAGATAGATGGGAAAAGTAGATGTTGAACAAGAGCAAAGAGAAGCATGCCTACAGGTTACTGTAAATGCTCTAAATTACACAGCAGAGGCCCATAATTAATCCTAACCAACAAGGAGGAGGAAGCACACACCCTTTGGCAAAAGACTGAAATTTCTTACTGCTTACAGGTCCTACCTATTAAGAGAACAAGCAACAATCCCCAGCTCATCCCTCCCCCAGCAGTGCGGACCTGCTTAGGAGGTGCAGAGCCACCGAAATCACAACAGGTTGGCGGGACTTCGTCGGGTCTTCACAGCTGCGCAGCTTCCAGGGGGACGGCAAGCAGCAAGCTGTGGAAAAGCTAATGCGCAGCACAGACCCTGAGCACGGAAAAACGCACCACTGCAACGGTACTGCTTCTCCTCCAAAAAGCACAAAATAGTCCAATTACCCCTTCCTTGTCTTTTTTTAAAATTTTATTTATTTTTTTTAACATTTATTTGTGTGTGTGTGTGTGTGTGTGGCCAGCTCAGCCCACCAGGGGGCGGGGCTGGCTGGCATGTGGTGCTGGGGGATTGAACCTCGGTCCCTGTGCTTTGCCAAGCTTGTTCCAAGTAGGTGCTTTAGACCACTGAGCCATCTCACCAGCCCTCCTTGTTTCCATTCTAGTCCTACAAAGACAGGAATAAGATAGTCATCGCGTTCCCATTTCTCAGATACAAGGAAGGATGGATGAAGATGACCCATCGGCCTCTATTTCACCGCTCTCGCCAAGTTCTACATGCAGCCTAGGGCTCTGCAGCCGCCACCAACATGCTGCCATCCAACAGCAGTCACACCACTCGCTCGTGCACAAACACCTCACTCTTTTCTTATTCATCCAAAAAGGCCCTTGGACAAAAAAATGTAATTCTCCAGTGCCCTAAACTAAGCTACCTTGCAGAGGAACAGCCCAATTTGCTCTGCAGCAGAAAGCTGTATTGTGCTTAGCGTGAAGGTTAGTGACAGAGCAGCAAGTGACCATTAAATTCTGCTTCCAAAGGCAAAAGCCATAGAATATTAAATGCCTTTTTCTCTTCCCAATCTATTAGATGTAGCAGCTAATTTCACACCACACCTCATATTTGGCATCTCTGGAATCTTAGACCAAGTCCTGGTCAATATAGAACAAAGGCAGGAGAAACCTTAAGAAAATTAGCAATCTATCCTGTGTCATTACCCATGGCGCCAAGCCTGCCTCCCACCCCCAGCCAAGGAGAATCTCATGATTGCTAAGTGGAGCATCGAATGCAGAGCCGACCACAATAAAAGCTGTTTCAGCAGCCGCACACTTTTCAAGACCTGAGCTCCCAGCATGAGTTCATCCGGAGGCAAATGGAGAAGCACGGGCCTACCTGAAGGGCAACATGCTGACTTCCTTAGGAAATTTGGGTTTGATCCAATCCCCAAAATAAACCCATGGCACAGCAGCTTAGAAAGGAAAACATAGCCAAACCCGACTCACCTTTTCCTCCTGGAGTCCCCAGGTTCCCTTGAGAAGAAAAGGGAATTGCAGGCATGAATGCTTCCCAGTCCACGATCAACTGGAGAGCTTTTCAAAAATTCCAATTCTTGGGCCCCAGGCAAATAGAGATTTTCTGAGCCCCCACAGCAAGGTTATCAACATACAGGGTCTACCTGTTCTGCAGACTTGGTCTGTGGCTCAGTAGAGCCTCAAGCATCTACACCAGGAACACCACGACCAATGACAGCCTTCCCAAGACCCATTCCCAACACAAGCCACATTGGCAGCCATAACAAGGAAGTCTCATTTCACTGTGACACAAGTTGACAGTTTTCTATTACAACACAGCAGACCTATAACCCCTAAATGTCAAAATACCAGAAATGCAGGGAAGTTCACTGTCTAAGCTTGGAATTTTCATTAATTAACCTAGAATTCATGAACATCACTCAGCATTCTCACATAGGCTTAAGAGCAAAGCTATTTTCTATGCTGACAGTGGTTAGCACACAGGCTTGAGACAACGTGTGTTAAGGAAACCACCAGGAAGGTGCAAAACTTAACAGACCCCCAGTGGGCTGCAGACCTGAGTGCTGGAGTTCCTGGTCATTCGCGTCCACAGGAGTGGAAGGGCTGGCATGCGGGTACGAGGGATAATGGGAAGGTGTCACCACGATAATAGGGTGAGGGCCACCAGTTTTTTGACCTAAGGCCAACTACCTTGGGGGCTAATAATGGTGGAGGGACATCTTGGAAAAACTTAAAAAGAGAACGGGGGAGGGGGGGGTTGTAGCCATTCCCCGGCCGGTCTCACCTCCCCGCGTCCACCTCCCGACCAGCAGAGCATCCCACGTCGGTGAGGTTCGCGGCGGAGGCAGCCAGCTCTCCTGAAGGCCTCTTGCCGGTCTCGTCTCCGCCGCCCGAGCCGCCGTTGCAGCTCTTCGTGCGAAAGAGGCGGCTGAGGCGGATCTTGAAGGAGCCCTTCCGAGAGGGACCCGCGAGGGGCCGAAGGAGCCCGACAGGCGGCGGTGGTGGCGGTGGCAGCTGCTGCTGCTGCTCGGCTCGGCTGGGCCGGCCAGAAGGAACCAAGTCCTGCAGCGGGAAAGGCGCTGGGGGCAGATCGGGCCCCGGGGGCTGCAGCACCAGCCGGCCGCCCCCTCCTCCTCCGCGGCCCGGGCTACTGAGCTCCTCTTCCGAGCAGCTGTTGGTCTCCAGGCTCTCGGCCTCCGACTCCAAGCCCTCCAGGACCAGCAGCGCGTCGCTCGTCTCCGTAGGGTCCTCCCCGGCCTGCGGGGCGGCGGCCGGCGGCTGGGGCTGTGGAGCGGGTGGCTGCGAGGGGCACGGGCACGGGCAGCAGCCCCCGCCAGCCGCTTTGCCCCCCGAGCCCGCCGGCTGCCCGAG